AATTCGCGTCTGGATAGTAGCAACAGCGTAGCATCTCAATTACCTCACTGCGGTTCCTCTATGTCAGAGGTCCGTATCACCAACAAGGAGGTTCTTAAAACCTTGCGAAGTCTAGACGTGAACAAAGCTAGTGAACCTGAATTGTCTCCTGTGTTGACACGCTTGTTACGCCTCTCATTCAGGACTGGAATAGCGCCCAAATATTGGAAGTTGGCCAATGAGCCGCCTGCGCCTTAAAAAGGTAGCCGTGCCGACCCTGCCAACTATCAGCCAATTTCAATTACCTTCATACTCTGCAAGATTATGGATCTGACCAAGTCAAAGAAGTCGATGCGCTAAATTTCTACGACGCTCTCCGTATGGCCAGCGATAGGAATCGGTGAAGACAGATCATACTTAAGATCGATCATACTTAACATAATGTTGATCACGATCTTCAGTCATGAGGGACCGACTAGAGAGAGTGAGAGATTGAACGCCCACTTAATGGCATATCTAGAACAAAATGACTTCCTTAGTGACCGATAAGGGTTTCGCCGAAATCGGTCAGCTAGCGAAGGACCTTCTAGCGTATACCACCCACGTATGGGGCGAGGCACTTGAGAACAGTGGGGAAGCATGTGATGTTTCCCTTGATGTCTCGAAGGCCTTTAAGAGACTTTGGCAAGTCTAGCCTAGCCTTTTGGGTAAGCTTCCAGCGTTCAGCTTTAACCCTGGTCTGATTGAATGGGTAAAGGACTATCTGAGTGAACGGTCTGTCTAGGTCGACGTCGATGGCTGCTAATCTGATCCTGTGGCAACTAACGCCGGTGTTCCTCAAGGGTCCGTTCTCTCCGCAACTCTCCTCCTGCTGCATATTAATGATCTGCTTATGCCCGGTATCTATGGGCTGCATACCCATAGATACCGGGCATAAGCAGATCATCACGCTAGCATAGTTTTGGAGAGATACCAATCATGTGCCTGGGCCAGTCGGCATCAAATCCAGTCTGAAAGAGAGACTATGGCTGAACGTGTAAATCGCACACTACAGGCAGTCTCCGAATGGGGCGATGCCAATTGTGAGATTCAACGTCTCCAAAATACAAGCGAGTCTTTTCACTGCTAAAAGGAGCCCGCTCGCCCTGGCTCCTACTTTCCGGATGTATCCTTGGAGTACACTGACTGCCTTCAGTTGTTAGGGGTTGAATTTTCTCCTAACCTCAACTATGAGCGGTTCATTGAGTCCGGAGGCCTAAGCAACCGGAAGAAACTTGGTGTTCTTGCAAGGGTGCGGGGGTACTTCACGCCGGGGCAGCCTTTTACTTTATATAAAGCGCAAGTCCGGTCGTGCACGGAGTACTGCTTTCACATATGGGCTGGTGCTACAAAATGCCACCTGAAAACGTTGAACTCAGTGCAGAGACGTGCTAAGAGGCTTATTGGTGACTTTGATTTCGTTGAAACCAACCTTCTCAGCCTCGAGCACAGGCGCAGAGTAGCCAGCCTCTCAGTATTCTATAGGATGCATTTAATTCCTCCCTCTCCTTTCCACCATCGGACGAAGAGGCGGTCGGCTGGTCTTCCCTTTGTTGTCGATATTCCGCGCATTAGAACCAAACGGTTTATTTTGACTTTTTTAATGCGTACAACAAAGGTGTGGAGTAATTTGCCGGCGTCTATCTTTCCGTCCGAATACAATCTGGGCGACTTCAAGGTAAGAATAAATAGGCTTTTTTTACGCTAAGCCAGTGCGATTTACCATCTAAGGCTGCATCACCAGTTACCACCAGGTGGGATTGTGTTCAGGTACCGGCTTATAAAAAGTAAAAAAAAATTGACCTTGGTTGGGGCTTCTATTTATTTACTAATTATTTATTTAATTATATAGGTATATAATGTACATTTGTGTATATTCATAATTGTCTTTCATATATTTATTCATCCCAAACAGATGAGAATACTCTATAAATACGCCAAAATAGTTCTAAGGATAACCCTTAACTCTAAATAAAACTTAGTCATCCCAAGATGTTGATGTAGAATATTTTAAATGATTAATTCTGCTACTCCAACCAATTCTGAAAGCCGCTGATTCTTCACCAAGGCTTCAAGGAATACTAGATTTTTTTTTACTTTTTGATGATTTCTAGCGTGTTTTTGGGAGGGAAGGCCTTTGTTCAGCAGTGAACTTGTTAAGTAAGCAGTTGCGTTATCACCCCTGAGGACTGGGATGCTATGCCTCTTTTTTAATATTAATGGTCTGTTGTCAACCAGTCTGCCAAACGTGGCAACTATGGAAAAATCAATCGTATCGTATGAGGCAATCATGTCAATATGGAGGAGGCTTATGTTCAGCAGTAGACTTTGATAGGCTGTCATGAACATATTAATGAAAAATCATACAATAAACTCTTACATTACGCGGCATAGTAAAATTTGGGAAAAAATATTTTATTTTTATGTTTATAAATGTGTTATTTTTGAAAATAAATTTATTGAAAAATATTGTTTTGATCATTTTTTAGGTAATTTTGCAATTTTTTTTTCTTTACAAGCTTTACAATTTGAAAAAATACTACTTGATTAAATTATTTGTTTTATAGAATAATTCATAGAAGTAGAATCGTTATATTAGAGGTACACATCAACTGAACATGACACAACAGTATAAGATTATTTTAATCAAAATTCAACGTCAAAGACTGTTCTTTAAGCCCGTGACTATCAAAAGAACACGTTAAGTAATAAAAATGTCAATGTTTCAATATAAAATGGTGCTTACTGAAGATTTAACCTGCAGAAACATTATATATTTGTTTATTTCATAATGTCAAAATGCGCCATTTCAACGAAATTGAATATTTCCTTTCGTGTAGTAACATAATTCGATTTCGTATTATACCCACAACCCCCAATGTCGTTTAGAAATCTATAAATCTCAATAGAGGATTTACTCAAATCTCTAATACATTGATGGTTACAAATACCACAAATCCTCGCTAAAGAACACCGATTCCTTCCAAGGATGATTCGCGAGGCTATTGAAATCAAAAAAACATCCTAATTTCAATAGAGAAGATGGCTGGGTGCTACCATCTGCTTGGGATCCTATAATAAATAAAATTAAATCCCAACCCAAGCATACAACTGCAAGACTCCATGATACCATAAGTTCATACTGTGTAGATCGGAACAAAAGTTAAATTTTAATCTATGGTAACCGCGGTTAACTATGACAGCTGGACGTTGAACATCTCAGTCCTTCCCGTGACCATGGGTGCTGTAAAGCTCTCGAAACGTCGGGTAAAAAAGTTAAATATACGCGATAAATTCCGTAAAAATTAGTATTATTTCAAGGTTACAATACAGGTTTTTTTTATAGAATAAGGGTGACAAATCAGCACACAGTCCACCTGATAGTAAGTGGATGTTGTGGTCCATAGACTTCGAAATGTATCCTCGATTAAGAATCAAAACGCAGATGCGTTGTCACTCCTGATGACTAACATGGAATGCCTCGTTTTCAGTAAAACAAGGTCTCCAGATCTTTACAACAACTACAACCATAATATAGCTGCAGCGTACTACCACATATAATTTGGTGCATTATATAAATGTAAACTGACCTACATCGAATTAAAAGTAAATTAACAATGCTCACTTAACTATCTACTTAGCTTAACAAAAGCATAATATTTATTCTTGCCTAGAAGACACCCACATGGTTATCGAATTGAAATACAAATACTGGCAAATTATTCCATAGGTTCGAATTCGTATACGCGTATATTCCTGTTTACTATTTAAGGTAAACTTAAAATATTTGTGTTCCGAGTAGTAGTAGTAAAGCCATAAGAATACTATCGTCAAGTGTGTATAATTACGTTGGATACATAACATACATTATTTTGTTGATTTAAAGGACTTTGCTTGCGGCAGTGCCGTGTGCCATCATCCACTCCCTTTTAAATGGTCAATAAGTGTGAAGACCACATGCGTCGTATTTGTGATCAAGTATTTATTGTAGTGTTTTACCGCGTAAAAAAATTGTTATACTGCCATCTTTCGGAAGCCATTTCCCACAGTTACCTCTCACGTTAACTACGGTCCAAAACGTTGTGATCGTTTATCTTACTCTGTCACCACACGGCATTTATTTGGAAGCACTTAGCAATTGAGCTTCCATAGTTATTTTTATTAGTATTATTATAGGCTTTGGGGCGTACTATCTTAGATCTCATAGGTGATAACATAAGTGATAACAGATTTAGCTTTTTAGTTTGAAGTTGGTTGCTGCACTTACCATCACTGTCAGGTTGTTACTTTAATATGATACAAAAAAAAAACAGTTTTATGTAATGATTTCTTATATTTACGCGAACACTACACATTTATTAAAACTACTTTTACGGATTTTATCGCGTTTATTTTACTATTATTTTTAATTCAATTTAAATGGGGAATTAAAAATAATAGTAAAATAAACGCGATAAAATCGGTAAAAGTAGTTTTAATCAACAGTTTTATGTTTAATAAAATGAAATGAAATAAAATAAAATTCAATAAAATAAAGTATAATATTCGTAATTTGTTTTAATGTATTTCTATATGTATTTTCTTCATGTATGCGTATATATTTAATGTTTATTTAATTATATGTCAAGTTATTTTTAAAGGTTTTTTGGCACCAATCAACTTTTATTTACCTATCTATTTCAATTACGGTTGAGAATAGAATGCGTAATATATAATAATAATCCATAATGCATTAAGTCCGCCAATTGTAACCGCTAAATTAAGGTGTATAAATAAATAAATAAAAAGGAGAATAGGTAACAATTTCATTTAATTAACAACAATTAAATAACTAATTTCACACAATAAATAAATCAACTACAACATGAATACAGTTGAAAATGACTTAAAATTAGATAACAATATTTACACCCACGCAAGGCACGACCGACAAATACAAACAGACACACATACAAAATTACTCAAACGGCTTCATCAAGGCCTTAGTGACCTTTATGATGAATCGTCTTGTAGACGGGAATCTTGACAGGGTAAGGATGAGGTACATGAACGGTAACAGTCTTCTCTACTTTATATGGAACACGCTTCTCTACAGGGTAAGGTATATGCTTGACGACAGGGTAAGGTACTACTTTTTCAAGAGGAATCGATATTTCGGTCTCTACAGGAACAGCAACAGGCTTGTGTACCGGTACTTTAACAGGATAAGGCTGGGGTACACCAACAAGAATCGGCTTAGGCACGTTGACGTGTATAGTCTTGTGAATAGGGACGGTAACATGTTTGTAAGAAGGCACCTCTACGGGGTGCTCTTCATCAACGTGCTGTCCAACTGGTATCGCTTCCCCATAACCGTGGCTGTCAAAACCAGACCCCCCAAAACCGTGACCACCTTGATCGCCGTATTCATGGCCACCGTCTTGAAGTACAAAAGATTGAAGCTGGTCTCCTCCATGACCCCCAGATTGTCCACCGTAGCCGCCGAAGTTTCCTTCATGACCGCCAGAGCTACCTAGAAAGCTGCCGTGGCCCCCAAAATCTCCACTACTTCCTTGAGAAACAAATTCGCCACCATGACCACTGTGTCCACCTTCACTACCGCTAAATCCACCTCCATAACCACCTAGGTCTGACGACCCTACGCCGTGACCTCCTAAGTCATTAGCTGCCTGAAGATATGAATCACCTCCAATGTGACCACCGTAAGAACCACCTCCTTGGCCACCTAGATCGTATCCCTGTCCGCCACCATGACTTCCAGTAAAGTCATGTCCAGAGCCTTGATTCAGAGCTAGGGTAACATCATTTCCGCCATGACCTCCTGAGAAATCCTGTCCCCCACTTATAGGTACGAAGCCATCATGACCACCTCCAGAATTTCCAAAGCTGTTATAATCTCCACCTCCACCGCTTGAGTAACCGTTTGATTCGAATCCGGCCTTGCAAGTAGCTACTGCTAACGCTAACAAACACACCTGGAACAATAAAAAAAACATTATTAGAACTATGTCACGCGGAATTTACGAATTGTAATAGAATTACATTACGACTTGTGAACCACCGGCTTTGCCTGGGTGGTGTATATTTGTTAATTTAGAATCAAGCTTATCGTATTTATTTTATCGATTTATCGATTTTTTAAAAAAGAAATTTATTGATAAAACATATTTTAAATCACAGTGATTTAAAATATATTTTATCTATAAATTTCTTCGTCAAGTTTCATTACAATCGTTTCAACCATTCCGTAGACTAGCCCGGATAGGCATCCAGACAGACAGATTAAAATTTTAAAAATGGTTATTGTGTCTTAGTGGGATGAAAATACCCCTCCTTAGCTCAATTTAAGGCAGTTGTTTCAGTATTACAGACAAACACTTCATTTTATTTATATAAGTATATCAATTAAAATGAAGAAACTATATACATATTATGTATACATGTATATATGAATAAAGCTACTGTTAGAACCACCCTGCAGGTGTAGTACGAGCACGACCAAGAAAGAATCACTCTCGCACAGAATATAAGCATATATAATAGGATCATAATTACTTCTGTGATTCGTATGATTTATGACGAAAACCGGAGATCAACTTTTTTTGTAAAGTCATTCATTCTTGTTTCTCAGGGGTAATGTCGCATCTACATTTTGAATCTTGATCCAGAATGGATTTACAACATGTTCCCGTTTTTCATCCTTTTTTTCAAATAAAATCCTGTGCAGTACACGTCTAATACTACACGCACGAACGCACCTAAGAGATAAAATTATTTACGAATCTCTTTTCATGCCACAAAGTCATGAGCTGAGACTATACTAGTCCCAAACCTAACTGTCGTAAATAACTTTCAAAAGTATTGCTTGCTCTCGATTAACCTCAAATATAAAAAAGCTTATGAAAAGTTAGTCTAGAGCAATCTTTATATTGAAGCTACTACTGTTGCATAACTAAAATGATCGCGTTATAACATCTCAAAAACATGTATCTACATTCTCTCATGCAGAAGACCTTTCACTTTGCAAAAAAATTTACATCCGGTTTTTGCAATTTATATTAGTCTATACCGTCATTATAACAGACTAAATGTTAGCTTGTAAATATTGTACGTATGTAAATTTAATTTGAATAAGTATGAATAAGTAGAGTTTGTGTTTGTATCAAGTTGTGAGCAACTACAGCAAACGCTTAAAATAAATTATCTCACCCGAAACTAATGTCATCCAGACCGAATTTCACAGTGGCCAGACAGCGATCGGAGACTAGTGATCTGTGCAGGATAGAATTATTGTGCACAAGTGTGTGACGCAAGCACAGGTGTACTCTCTATTATTTCCTCACTCACATAGTCCAATGGGATGGTAATCCGACACGGCGGGTGAGTGATTAGGCGCAGGAATAGCCTTACGTGTTTTCAAGGCCACAAGGGTGAAATACATATACATACTACTGAATATTTCTAAAATAAAAACCAATAAAGCAATCGTACCTAAACTATTAAGAACACTACAAACCGTGTTTTTTTTTTAAATTTTATTTCATGAAAATTCCTAGTGTGGAGTTTCAATTTTTATTAGGGGTAACACTTTTGCAGAGGTATAAAAATAATAGAATTTATTGCCTTCCTACTATTTCTATGCTTTCTACAAACTCATTGAAAATTAGTCATTATTTTTAATTCCATTCAAAAGAGATTATAAGAGTAAAGTTACAGCCTGTAAACGTTCCATCGGTGCCCACTCTCATTTTTGTAAGGTTTATAGGTTTTTTAGATTGCCTTGCTAATCCAATGCGTGTTTGCGGACTTCACTAGTCCTTGAAATCTTTTATTTCTCGGACTCGTTATTTCCTCATGACGTTTTCATTCACCGCCAGCGACGTGGTAAATTAATACTCAAAATTAAAATTAACAATTTCACCAATGAAATTGGTAGGAATCGAACCCAGATTGCGTACTGTATATTTCGGGGAGTCCTTAACCTCTGAGCTACTATGCCTCTATATTATTATCATAATCTAATGAACAAAATATCCAGATAATTTGAAATTCATGTTAATTAAAAGAATAACGAAGAAATTTGAATTGGTACTAAAATATTAATTAAAATTGCACTAATTATATGTGATTGTTTACAATGTTTGGATAAGTATGCATTCAATAGATACAATAAAGTAGCATGCAAACAACATATAATGTACAGTTTCTAATCTTTATCATATTTGATGCAAAATATGAAGGTGCCACAGTAAACCCGCCTTTATGCCTACAACGGATAGCTTAAAATTAATATAAAGGCACACCGGACATTATGTGACGGTTTAATAAACTGCCAATTTTGTGTCACTTCCGGAGGCCATTATTGTTTTTATGCTTTGTTCGCCGTTTCTTCAATCAAAAGAACATTAACTTTATTACACGTTATGTAATACACGAGCAAAAGCCAAGTAATAAAAATAAGAAATGAATCAACTAAACTTAAAAATCTAATATTTTTTAAACTAAGTTAAAAAACGAACTTACAGTCCACCTGAGATAAGAGGCGACTATAACCCACTGACACCTACAACCTGTCTAGGTGTGACCCGAAAGGTGCACACGACTAACTTCCCAGTGGAAAGAATAAAAAAATATCATATGTTTTAATGTTTTATACAATTTTTCATTCGGCACAAAAAACGACTTGACCGATTTTGCTCAAAATTTAATGAGGTCTAAGTTACATAATTATGCGTTAAATAAAACTGGTCCCATGTTAATATAACTCTTTGTTCTCGAGATACAAGAGGCGAAAATTGAATCCGAACATACATACATGCATACGTATATGTACACACACGGACATTCTCTTAAAAACCATATTATTCGACTCTAAAGACCTTGAAACGTGGAGATATGTTAAAATTTCTAATTTGCAAAATTGGACCCATTACAATAACTTCCCACTGGGAAGTTAAAAACATAATTATGCGTTGTCTTGGACTTCAATGGCATGCATTACAGCAGCTGTTTGACGGTAGAAATAGGTATAAGAGACTACCCCCATACCTAGGTAATCCAGTCAATCCAAGCAGACTCCTAGACAAAATAGGAAATCTAGCACTTTCGAAAAGTTCTATTAAATAAATTATTTAATAAGTAAAGGAATAGAATTATTAAGTGAACACGTTTGCGCGCTTATGCTTGAAACGAAAGTGAATGTCCCTTTTACTCATTACTGGCTACTATTTCTCACAACCGGTTTCCGTGTTATTAATCTGTGTAGATCAAGTTGCGAGTCGGATTCGATTTGTTTTTGAGGCATTGCAGACGCGTTACATCAAAAGTAAATTTACTGTTATATAATTTATGCAATATGGGTCCAGCTCACTTTAAAAATAAGTAGTATAATACCCCAAAATCCATTATAGTAATAGCAAAATTCTAAATACCGATCTGAATTCAAAATTCAATACCGCAAAATTCACTTTTTGAGTTGCGTAGGATCCGATGATAAATGGTGATGTAGCTAAATATAATGCACGACGCACACACTGGCTTAACTAAACCAAATTCTGATCTCTCTTGACTTGAAAACACATTGTGTGATCTATTAAAAAGGGAGACGCTGGTAAATTATTTCACTTTTTTTTCTGTAGATTACGAACGATGAAGCTAAAAGCGTTTTGGACCTAAATAACATAACAATATTTAAGTAAATAAATAAATACTAAATTTTTTTAGTTTTAACTAAACCTTTATTAGTATTTTTTGTTAAAATGTACGTAAACTTGAAAGGTCTTTATTAAAATATCATTATGTTCTTTTAAAAATATCAAAACATCGATTCAATTCCATCCTAAGCCTTGATTGGAAGCAATCTTTGAAACGATTCTTCAGTCAGGCGCCGGAAATCGCATTATCGTCTTGAAAGAGCGTTAGTGGAAGTTTTGGATTCGGCACGCTCATAGAAATGTTATATAACGTATCTCAAAATATATTGGTATTAAATATCATAACTTCAGAGTTATTTATTCTGAGCTTTACTTTTATAACACATCTATTATTTTGCAGGGAATAGAGTGAATGGGGCACTACACTCTATTATGAAGAACCAGAATGTATCAAAAAAAGGCACGTATGGTAATTCATAATGCTTTGTTAGTCCCTACTTTAATGTATGGTAGTGAAAGCTGGGTGTGGCAGAAGAAGCACGAAAGTAGAATAAATGCTGTAGAAATGCGGTCTTTAAGGAGTATGCTAGGGTTGAATCTGAATGACAGGGTGAGAAATTGCGTGATAAGAGATAAACGTGGTATGCAAGATGATGTTGTGACCAGGATTAAGAAAGGAATGCTTCGGTGGTTTGGTAGAAATAATGAATGAGGAAAGAGTGACAAAGCAATTTATATGGCAGATGTGAACGGCAGAGTCGGGAAGGGACGCCCTAGAAAAAAGTTTATCGACCAAATTCGCGTTATGTATTTTGAAAATGGGCCCTTAGAAGTACCCTTAACCGACGACATGTATGGGTATATATATGGATGTAAAGGAGGCGAAAGAGGTATGTCAGGATCGTGCCAAATGGAAGTCCGTAGTCTCTGCCTACCCCTCTGGGTGACAGGCGTGAGTGTTTATGTTATGTTTTTTATCTATTATTTTCGTTCAGAACATTTGTAATTATGACATGTGTGAATGCGAAATAAATGCAGTTTATCACTTTCGCTGTCCGGTTTTCAGACACAATAGTAAGATAATAGCAATGACCTATATGTGGTTCACACGACAGCGAAAGGATTCATGATGGAAAAAATATTGACTTAAATATAAAATCTATTAATTTAAATAGACATCTTGACTTCTGACAGTTACGTAAAATAAATATGCTAAACTAAAGTAACGTCAAATTATTATTTGTATTGAATTGAATCTAACGTGCCTAATGTAATCTGATATAATTTAAACATATGCTTAGCCGTCGATGTTTTGATAAGAGGATTTTAATAATATTTTTTTACTAACCAATAATAAAAAGTAAGAAATATCTAGAAAAGTCACAAGGTTTGTCACATCTTCAAAACATAATATACTTTTTTGAGACACTTTAGCTTTAGTTATGCAAATTTAAATACAACGTTGAAAACATTCAACTTGCGCCGACCACTTGGTAAATTAGCCATTAACATTGCAATTAACAATTTTGGAAGTGTTCGCGTTCTATGAAATTTTAAATTCGTGTTCTGCTTTTCACGTACAATAACTAACTCTCTATTAGGATATAATTTTTATAGACTGTGATTGTGTGGACACAGTACACCTGATCTTAAGTGGATGTGGCTGCGAACATCTACATCTATGAATTAAAATGCAGACACGCTATCACCCCCGAGGATTATCATGTAATGCCTCGCTACCTTCGGTTCTCTACACTTACCATATGAACAAATAATTATTACTATGCTGTTTATCTGTTTAAATAATCTGGTAATCTGTGAGAGCGTGGTCCTCCCCCGGTTGAGCCCACACATTCATACCGTAGCGATATTAGCTGCGGCGTTGCTTAATCGCTTAAATATCTATATGATAAATTATACATCCATCCACATCCTCTTAATTATCAGTCAAATATTTTGAGCTTCTCCTAAATTTTTCTTAATCTTCCCATTGATATATCAGGGTGTAAGTCAGTATCAGAGTCTCATTTATTCATCAAATTACAATACTATAAGTTTGTACTTAGTATAAAGTTATTTTATTAGATAGGCTTAGTATCATCAGATTTTAAATAATTTTATTAATAACGATGAAAATGTATTTTAAACAGTGGTTTTCAACTCATTTACTAATAATATCCTATCAAAGCTAGAGGAAATTTATCATTAATTCGATGTAATGCATCCGTATTAGCTTTAAGCTCCTGCGAATACTCTAGCTCCAGTACAATATTAGTAAGATTAGCTTCCTACGTTACATTAGCCGTACGGATGTTAAGTCTTACTCCGTTAATCACACCCAAGGTTTCCAAGTAAATCAAGTAATTTTGCTATCAGTATTACATGATTATTTTGATTTATTTGGTACTTGGTGAGTTATTTCTGGTGAAATTCTTTTTTTTAATAAAATACCCCTACAGAACAAATTTCGTCCATGTCTATATGGCGGTTAAAACTTGAGAAAGATTTCTTCCGTATTTACGTACGGTAATATAGTAACGGACAAATGAAAATTCGCAATGTTTTTTGAAACTGTAACAAAAATTTAATCAATCAATTGAGATTTCTAGCAGCAGTTTCATATTACCTTAACTTATAAATTTTATATAATATATAAACTATGTTTTTGAAATAATAACTAAGGTTAAGGTGAATAAGTAGGCCAGATTAGGATGTAGTCAAAAAGTAGGGGCATCCCACTATATGGAGTGACGACCTGTTGTGACTTACAACGCTGATGATACTGATAGTATGATGATGAAACTATTTCGATATTTAAAAACTGTATAAAAACCATAACGGAACTAGATTGAAAAAATAACGTTAGCGTATTACAATTCCGCACTTAGTTACTCGTTAACAATAACTATAAACAGTTAACAAAGGAATTGTATTTCTACGGGTTATCTAAGCTTCTTACAAAAGTGTTACGTAACGGCTAACGGAGAATCAAGATTGCTCTTTCTTATCAGTGTTTAAAACATTTCAAAATTTTATATATCTATAAGATTAACTAGGTGTAAACCTGTTTGTTTTCGTAAAAGCTTATTTGCGAAATAAAACGGCATATTAATAATTAATATTGTTCTGACTTAGCCGTGGAATCTCAGGGCCTAAGCGCTCGCTGTAAATTTCACAGTACGCGAGTAACCCGGGTTCGATTCCCGCCAGCACCCAATGAAATTGATTGCAATTTTAAGTGCTGACTATCCACTTTCTCAGCAGTGAAGAAAAATTTCGTGAGGAAAACTTGATGTGTGAGAAAAATGAAAAACTAAAAATATTTCTATGACATGTAAAGTTCGCTACCACGCATTAGGGCAACGCGGCGGACCTTTACTTGCCCTAAAACCCTCTCATAAATGAGAGGAAGAGGCCTGTGCCTATCAGTGAGACGTATATAGGCTATAAGTTTTTAACTTTCGAATTTTAATAACTAACATATAATAAACATATATAGTCACAGTCTAAATACGTCCCACATCACAGTCCCCTCATTACTGTAAAAATTATATTCACTTCCAAAAATACGATTTTCACGTTGGGTTTCTAAGAATTTATAATTTATTTCACCATCATCATCATTACAACCCATCAAAAGTTCACCGATGAACATAGGCCTCTGCCAAATAATAATAATATTAATAACTTATTAGCATTATATAGAATTCCAAACGAAATTTTTCCTTCCATCCTGACAATGATATATCGAGCAATATTTCGCTACAGTAATAAAGCGATTATATAACTAAGGATAAAAATAGAAAAAGCACTTACAAAAGTCTTCATGACGCTAAGGCTTAGGATCGCGGGTGTAATACCACGCTTGGAAACGAGCAGTGCAATGTGCAGAGACTCAAATGCACTATCATTTTATAGTGACCGGAAGAGATTGTGCTATGAGGAGGAAGACGAGAAAGGCTGCCTTTTGGAGATCTATAGAGCAGTTACAACGATAAATAAGGAACACATTTTTGGCAGTTTCGATTGCTTTTTTTACCTCTCTATCTAACATATGCAAGTCTCTTATTCATACAGTTCAATACATGTTATTTTATTTAAATTACTTCACAACTAAAATTGTTACAAAAAGATCATTCAAAACGTTAAAAAAAGACGAATGTCAACGGAATACGATTTAACGTTAAATGGTATTTATACGAAGAGTTTTGATATCAAAGAATGATAATATTAAAAAAAGAACTTCCAATATATTAAATATTTATTCTTGTATGAAAAGTAGAAAATTAATAAAAAAATGAATAGAATAATATAATTTCGATACAATAGCTTTTGAATAGCCCCTCGGTACTAAAAGTTTATTGAATATTATATTTAAAGTCATGACTTCAGCAGCTACATACATATATAAGTAAGTATATACATACATATATAAGTAATAAAAATATAAATATCAAACAATTTTATATGTAGTTGGACATACATAAATAAACATGTCGAGTATAAAACCTCATCCGTTTTTTTAAACATTCAAGAGGTACTTTAGCTTACTGCTCGTCTTATTCCTTGCTAATAATTACTTGGGCAAACTAGGCAGCACTTCTCTATAATTATATATATATATATATATATATATATATATATATATATAAAATATAATTATATATATATATATATATATATATATATACTTCTCTATAGGGAATGTTATCAGTAATCACCACATTTCGATTATGGACGATTTTTATGGAAGCAGAGACCAACGATCATACGGTTTACTTGATGATAAGTGATCACCATTGTCCATAAACTTCCACAACATCGTAAGATCCTCATAACGTAGGAATATTAACTTTTACTGCAAGGTACTGCATTAATACTATGTCACCTGATGGTATGTGGTGATGCAATCGAAAATGGTAAATCGTACTGACTTTTTCAATTTTATATTATCAAAAGCAATCTTGCCTTAAAGACACATATATTCGGATGGGAAGAGAGCAATTACTCGATTTTTAGTGTATGTTTACGTTGCTCCTCGCTGTTGGTATCTCCATTTGGTTACCAGGCTTATACGAAATGATTCAGCCACCTAAAAGTAGTAGTTAAGAGTATGATGAAAATATAAAGAACCGTGGGTTGTAAACCGCCATTGTACACCCAGCTGAAGTGGCTAACTGGTTAATAGAATTGCGAAATCTTTTTTTTTTAATCGTCAAACTGCACATTAGTTATACTTTCATTATAGGAGACCATTAAATATTTCTTACATTTTCCATAGTAAATTATTTTGACTCCTGTGGGATGAAATATATCATGCATAGAATATGTGGACACCTAATAACAATATGGAAACATGGGACTAAAATTCTGATATATATAAAATTTGTAGTGATATTATTTTCTTTATAATACTTTACTAACTATTAAGTTAGTAAAGTAGTGTTAGTAGTAGAAGTATCAGTTATTATAAAAAAAAAAAAGATTATTGAGAGGAAGGTAAGTAAATATAAAAAAGAGATTTATAATATTTTAAAATAACTTTAAGGTTATCTTAACAAATTCAAACTGTTTTCACATTCCTTATCACAGGTCTTGATTGAAGAGTTTTATGGTAATTGTACACTTTATTAATAGCTTGAAGATAAAAACATGCGCAAACTCCCATTATACGTGTATTAAAGATTATATATTACATAAAATATAACATTATATATTATGCAAGTGTTTTTGTTTTTAAGTGATTAATTATACCAAGTTATTACTTATGGAGTTGTTTTTGTGTCGAATGTTGTCACATGAACGAAATTATTATTTAACTTTTATATATTTATAAATACTGTTCTCCTTTTAGTTGTTTACTTTAAAATAAAATGTTTATGTAAGAAAAAAGAATGTGGCGACTGTGTTAATTGCCTAAAATGTCGTAAAAGGCAACAAACCCCAATACTTCTTGTATTGGGATTTGTGATTATGTATGCGACGGGCTCACCGCCTCCTCCTCCTACAATTTTCCATTGTAACCCGTTTTATTTTAGCTAAACGTGTCAAGAGTGTGGGGCTGCTTTCTGGACTCTGCGTACCCCCACGGGGATAACAAGCGTAATGCCGATACATGTCCAATCTTAGATTCTTTAGTATCTTTTTTAATCACAAAGTGACGAAACGTTCTTTAGTAACTAGGACTAAGGAAATTATAAAACAATACGAAACTTACTGTTTTTTTTTTACGAGTTAGAGCCACACGGTATCAAATTATATAAAAACTGAAGAACGAATGGGCCAGCTAGACATGAAAGGCCATGTTCCTACAAATTACCAGCGTAAAAAATTTGGTATTATTATATTAATTTTTTTTGTATTGTCAGTGACGAGAACGAAATACCATGGTTACGATGCGTTTCCTCTTAGTTCTTATTTATTTATTTTTTAAACATTTATTTGTAGTCAGTGTTATTTTGTCTCCTTTTTAACTATCACGTATATAAAAAGTTTTATTTAATTTTTTTATAAAGTTCATCCCAAAATCTTATTTAAAAGGAGATCCACTGAAGAAAGCAACAATAAGACAGACCTAATTATCTGAGGTAATGTGAAGGAGAGTCAAATATTAGGTGTCTAAATATTGGTATATGTGACAGCATCGTTAATTCAAAATTACCTTATTACTAAGTTACAAGTCCCAACTTAAAATTACCTTATTACTAAGTTGCAAGTCCGGTTGTTCCGCATGCGTGACTATTACACACTCTTGTATTATGATGACCGTGTACTGACGGTGTAAGAATATCCATTGCCCCATTTATCCCGTGGATTTCGGACGCAAAAGAAGGGAACAGACCAGGAGATGAGCAGCAGCATCTTGGCAATTATGGCCAGTATCATCACAATCTATGGGAGAAGCCTAGGGACTTGACTGGCTTTAACGGTACAGTGTCCACGGTTACTATTTCTCTCAAGTTACACGCTCTCTGCGCAAGCCTAACAGTACGTTTGCACTGAGAAACATCCCACACGTAATGTTTTGATACAAATCGCATAAAATAAATCACACGACATGTTTTGTTTATGGCGACGTTCGCAGTCACAAAAACTGTGTAAAATTTTCAACAGATATTCAAACTTATCTTTCAACATGACAATATTTCTACAAATTTGTTTTCATATTGTTACTGTAGTTATAAAGATATAATTGACTGCCTCGTTGGTCTAGTGGTTGTAGTAGTGGGACTACTGATCATGAGGATACTACTACTATTGATTTGAGTTTTTCCTGGGTTCGAATCCCGGGTCGGGCCAAAAATCAATCAATTATTGAGTTTTTCTGTCAAGAAATTCTCAGTAGCTGCCTGGAGTCAGGAAGTTGGCGGTGTCTCACCCCCGTGCCTCGGAAAGCACGCAAAGCCGTTGGTCCTGCACCTGATCTCTCTCCGGTCGTGTCGGTTTACTGTCCCATCGCTTTGCGCAAACCCCTGGGGAACTATAATCCTGCCCTGCGCTGGTGGCTAGCCTCCGTTGAGGCAGGCCGCCGTGGTTGAAATTCGGTCTGGAGGACATTATTAAAGATATAATATAGTTAAAATATGTAACGTACAATAAACTGGCAAACATATTTCACTACAACATGTTCTTTGACTATGCAAACGCTTATTGATACATTGACAGAAAACAGTGTTTAAAACATGTTTTCTTGCGAAAATCGCGTCAGTGCAAACTCACGGTTAGATGTCTTAGAGCAAGAAAAACCTAATCAATCTGACTTTAAAACGCTGGCAAACTTAAATTAAAAAAAACGAATTACGGAAGCCGAAGCGAACAATTTAGTTCAATTGATTCCTTGTTAAAATAGGTTAGAATTGTTGAGAAATTATCACCATTATTTCTCCAAAGAACGTAATGAGATCAATAATTTCACGGTTCTAAAATATATCCTTCAAAGGAATAATTATGTAACGTTCCTTTTACGACATTAAACACGCCTTAAGTTAATGTACAGGTGCAATCACGGAGAAGAAAATTACTTAACAACTGTATCATATCCGTCCGCACGTTACTTTCATCTTTCTAATAATACGAGTACTGATAACTTGGATGTTACGCAAGCTTTAACGTAAATAATTTCGAGTGGTTTTTTTTTCTTGAAAAGAGAATGTAAATAATAAATATCGCTTCTGATTATTTTAGTGACGTGCCATTCGATTTCAGCAAAGAATTTGACGTCCTTTTTAATAACCTTTTTAACTTACTTGTAAACACCTAAAATTATGGGGAATAAAAAATTATTTCAAAATTAGCCGTCAAACGCCAGTAAAAGCCGATTTCAAAGAACTAAAAATAATAAATTAATTTCCACATAACATTGTTACCAGCCGGTGCTTAGACATATAAAATTTCATCCAGACCGAATTACGGTTACGTTGGCTTCTCTCTATGAATGCTAGTCATGTGCGTAGGAGATAGGACAGGAGTGTAGTGCCCGAACGTATGCGCTAGCACAGGTGCTCTCTCTCCTCCACTTTCCTAACTTGCATAGTCCGATATGGGACGGCAAACCAACACGACTGGAGAGAGATTAGGCGCAGGACCAACGGTGGTGAAACACTGCCAACATCATGACCCCGGGCCTAAAAGTTTCATGGTATTGAGAATTTCTTGACAGAAAAACCCGATAACTAATTTTGGCCCGTCCCGGGATTCGAAACCGAGACCTCATGATCAGCATTCGAGCTTACTAGAGCAAATAAGGTAGTCAAATTATATAATATTAGTGTAATGAAAAACTAAGCCACGGCTTCAGAAGCTGTTATGGAAAATTACTTAATACTTTT